GTTTTACTAATAGTTCCAACAGAAGAAGAAAAAAATAAATACCTTGCACAGGAGGTTAAAATACACATATCTTTTCATCTCCAACTCACAGCACAGGCAATGAGCTCATACATTTTTACTCCCATTCATGTATCTGTCTGCTTTCAGGGATGTTTCCATTTCATGAATCACCAATGTTCTTCTTTTCTACACCTGTGGGAAAACAAAACTATGCTTGATTAGCTTTGGGTGTGGAAATAGCCTTTCTTCTAAAAAAACCTGCATAATTAAAAAAAATAGCTGTCACTGTTTTAAATGAGATGGAAACTGTCCTGTTGCTGCTAATTCTGTGTTAATATTGCAAATTCGTATGACAGTCAACGTGCAACTGGCCTCCTCTAGTGTGTATCCTGTAGTTTGCACTTCATCTGAAATAGTACAAGCTGCTGTTTCAGCTCTGTGCAGGTGTTATTTCAGTCATCTGTATGTACTGACAGGTAGCAAAGTGGAAGGCTGATGAACCTGGAGGTCTACATTCAAAAACCATAAAGATCCATCATCAAGAGAAGCTTTTATACCAAATGTCATTAAGGTGTACTTTAATTGCTTAGAAAGGAATAAAATGTCATTGCTCTGTTTCTGAACAGTGTACACTGTTGCAAAAATCGTATCCTCTTTGTTTTCTTAATGAATGCTTGTCTCATTAATGGAACTTATGATACAGTAAATTACTTGATGAAATGAAAGGTCAAGCCACTCATTTACTGTCTGATAGTGCAGTTTTGGTGCACATGAGAGATCCTGAGCTTATCCTGGCTCACAAATGGGTCAGTTCTCCTATGGGGAGGAAGTGACTGTAACAGGGTATCCCTTACCTCATTATGTGCATTGAAATCCTACTTCAGTTTGGACAAAGAATGTTTGCCAATGTAGACAGTTTGATTTCTTTATAAATCAAAACTCATACCTTGCCCAGCTCTACTGATCTCTTTACTGTAAGTGGTGTCCCAGGCTTCTCTCATGCTTCTAGTCATGTAGTTATATACTCAGCATCCTTTGAATTAGAAATCTTTTTTTCAGCAGAGCAAAATATTTGTGAGACAAAAAGTTTGAGCTTTCCAGTTACACAAGCTCAGCTATTTGCTCCTTCCCAGGTCAGAAGCTCTGCTGTGCCAGTAGCCTAAACATAAACTAACTTGGAAATGTGCAGGTTTGTGTAGTTTTAATATTGAAATAATTATGGCTATGCAAGGCATTCTACAAGTGTAACTAGACTGCATTTCAACTGTTCTGTAATTTTTTAATGTGTAGAAGTCTACTGATTGATTCCTGAAGATCTTTTTGCTTTCAACAAGAAATTGTCACTGATCTTCCTGTGGTTCTCTTTAAACACACCACAAAAGCAGCCTCAGAAGTCACTGGGGAGAGATTGCTATGGGCAGTCTGATATGACTCTGAGTCAAGTGCTAATGGGCTGTTTTGCCAAGGCCTGGGGGTGTAAATAGTTTATGGAAAAAGTATTACATGGAATTTTCCATCTGAAATAAGGTAGTTGGACTTTGTCAGGAGCTTCACTGAGGACAGGGTGTCACCTGAATGGGAAGATCACAAGCTGCAGAATTTGCTGGGGTTGTAAGGCACCTTTGGAAAGCATCCAGCTGAACTTTCCTGCTCAAAACAGGGCAGGTTGCTCAGGGACTCGGGGTTTCTCAGTCAGGTTTATAGTCTGATTTCTATGGGGGAGCCCAGAACTAGAGACAGAAATCCAGGTGTGGTTTCACCGGAGTTGAGTAGAGAGGAATGGAACAATAACCTCCCTTAACTTGCTGGTAACACTTCTAATGAACCCAGGGTGCCCTTGTGTGGTTCACTCTGTTTAGAAGACATCCATGAGCAAGAAGTTCATGGCATCTGGTGCTCAACAGCATCACATTCTTAAACAATAGAGAAGCCTGGCTGAGTTTCTTTCACTAGTGAGATTTTTCTTACAATCACCCTTTAGGAACTGGCAAGCAAGTATCCACACTGGTAGTCAAAATGGGCTTTAATGATACTGATGTTATTACAGCGTACAAATATCTTGACTATTAATGGAAACATAGCTATTCCAAAGAAACATCTGACAGACTCAAAGCCAGAGTGGTTCTTTAAAAAAAAAAAAAAAAAGGAAAGAGAAAAAAGGGAGGAAATGTTTCCATAATAGCTAAAAGAACGATTTTTGTGTGATAGTTTTGAATTGTTTCGTGTTCATGGTGATGCCAGTTTTGTTTACTTGCCTGAAATATCCTCTATATTTAAATGATCATCTGCCAGGAGCATTTTGTGATATTTTATTACTGTCATTAATTCGCTGCCATATGTAACATTTGGAGAAAACAGCATGAAAAGGAAATTGCAGAATGCAATGCATTTTTAACAAAGACATTGTTTCGAGGCATATGTCTCTACTGTTCTGACATTTGAGTTGCTTATCTTTTCTTGGCAGCAGAACTGTATTTTCAAGCACTTTTTTTGGTCTTGTTTCTTTATTATTCTCTTTCTCTCCCTGCCTCCTTTTCTCTTTCGTTCCTTGGAATGCTCTTCAGTCTATGCCATGGAAATTAATCGTAAGTGTCTGTGGGGACCTGATTATCTCATTTAGCTGAATATGTTCATTAATCTTTTTCTTGACTAGTTTCTCACATTTTAATTATAGCACTCATCCAATATTCAGGTGTGAATCTTGTTTATCTACTGTAATACTTTCATTTGAAAATAAGCAGAGGAAAAATATTTTATTTTAATCCCGAATGCAGATCAAAGGTTTTAATTGAGTTCATGTGGTTGCTAAGACTTGTTTCTAGTACACCAACAGTAAAATAATCAGGTTTTTTAAATTATGATGCATAAGTGGCATTGTATAACTAATTCCCTTTGATTACATAGATACAATGTTGCTGGTTTTTTAGCAGTACTTTCATTGGTCCTTTTGAATAAAATTACAATTTGCTTAACATTTCTGTTATACTTTTCTTAGGAAAACCTGGAAAAATATGTCTGATGTTTGAGAAACAAGTAAAATAAATGTTATTAATTATAGTCTAAATATCTCTTTCAGTCCACAGGAAATAAGATTAGTCTGTTTTCAAATAAATGTTCACATAAACTAAATCTGTAATGAACATGGTGTCAGACTTAGTATTTGCTAAGATTTCAGCTAAAGAACCTGCGGTTGACAAACGCTTTACCTGCTACTAAATGGTTCCAAAAGCTAACCTTGTATTTGAAATCAGGTATGCTGGCACTTAAGGTCAGAACAAACTGGCTTCATTTACCCAACTCCAAGACAACTTGTGTATTCTTAGAATTACTTCAGGCAATCATTTTATATTGGTTTGCTCAATATTCTCACTTTTTGTCTCATTCTCAGTGGTCTATTTTGCTGTCACTATATCATTTTCATTTTATAACTTTATCTGTGTGGTACCACTGGCCTGCTGGTAACATTAACAGCCCCAGATAGGCCAAGGAATAGTGTAGGATCTGTCCAGGGGGTCAGTAAGAGGCAAAAGGAGACAGGGCCAGAGGGTCCATCCAGGGCACTCCCACAGGTCCAAGGTCCCTCCTGGAGGCAGGACTGAGACGTGCACACAGAGGGTGTACATGTAGACCCCCAGTAAAACTGGTCCAGGGTCATTAAAAGCCTGTTTAATACATTCAGGGCCCCAGTAGAAGTTTAATTTATGCTCAGCAATCAGGGACCACCAAGCCAATCCTTTTGTATCTTTGGCAAGGTATGCACACAAGCTTGGTTGAAGAATTTTTTTTAATTCCACTATTAATGTTTTATACATATGAAGATCTTGTCCTAAACTATTAGTATGAGAAAAAGAAAATCCAAATGAATTTGAAGAGAAAGCCACATTGTACAGTAAACTTGGAGCTGCCTCTCCGTTCATTAATACAGGAAATTGTTTTTATAAGCTGTAGTTAGAAGCAGAATTTGAAGTAGAAATTATATATACTTGCTACTGGAAATAAACTGACAAAATTTGGCAAATTTTATGCATGTCTCATCATTAAATAAATGTGAACAGTGTTTTTTGGAATATCAGGCGGTTTGTGAAAAATGCCTTTCCTGTTTTTTCTTCAGCTCCTTGTGGGGACAATCTTTATGATGATGATGGTAAACGCCTCCCTCCATGTATCCCAGGGGCCTGGCTCACTCCTGCCATCATGGCCTGTTACCTCTTGGTAGCAAATATCCTGTTGGTAAACCTGCTGATTGCTGTCTTCAAGTATGTAAATGATCATGGATCTTTTTCTTATTGTTGAGATAAAATTTCTTTGAGAACCCATCAGCTGATTTTGCAAGGTTTTGCATTTCAGAATCTAATGGTTCTGGGTATGACTGACAAATCCTGGCAGTAGTGTGCACACTGGGCAGGAGGGGAGGAAAGGTGCCTTTTTTTCCAGCAATTGCAGTAACGCATAAGAGAGAATCTGGCTACTTGCAATTACCTTTTAATGGGTAATGACAGGCCTCAAGATTGCTCTGGAAAGACGAGAAACAGAATCCATGAAACCTGCTATGCACAGGATAAAGCCCATGGAGCCACTGGCTGCTGACTCTGCGATAGAACAGCACAAAAATCTCAGCACCCAAAGCAGGAGACATTCCCACTACACCATCTGGCTTGTTTTTTCTTCATTCTTCCTGTTTTGTTTTTCATTTAGAAAAAGAAATTAGGGCCTTGCAGAATTCTTATAAGACCTAAAAAAAGAGTCTATGTTGCCTGAACCAACAGGAAGGATGGCTACATGTTGCCAAGGTCTGTGGCCAAGCAGTGTGCACTATCTATATTTATCTGTATCTATATTTAGACTACTCTGGAGTAAAACTACATAAATTTCTGCAGCTTGTTCTTCCTACCTACGTTACACTGCATGGATTTCCTCTCATGATTTAGGGAATAAAAAAAAAAAAGGGAATAACTACTTGCTGGTAATACTTTCTGAACACAGCACCTGAAAAAAGCAGGTGATCCATTTTTGCCTGTTGGCATAGGAAGCTGGTGTCACAAGCACAAAGCCTGTCTTTCATTGGATGTATGGAGCTTAAAAGGTCACGAATTTCAAAGGACTGGAATGCCAGTCACTTAGCTGGGGGAGAAGGGAAGGATCTCACAATGGGAGCTATTATTGGCTGAAGGACCAAGGAATCAGCAGTTTGGGAAGTAGGTCATGCTGTTAACTCCTGCCGTGCCAGCGTGGTGCAGGGGGCTGGGATCCTGCTAGAAAGGAGACACAGAATGAAGGCAGATTGTTATTTATCATTGGTAAATAATCTCGCGTACCTAACCTAAAGAAAGCAAAAGCTCTGTGTACACAGGAACTCTCTGGTTTCAGAGAGGTGTTTTAACTGGTTTTATGAATGGAGATATTCTAAAGAACATGAAGTTAGAAAAGTGGACAGAAAATATAAAAAAGGAAGTGCAAATATCATCACCATCATACAAGTGGAGTGAGCTGTCTGAGCATACTTTAAAATAGCTCGAGAAGTTTTTTCTATGACAGAATATCAAGTCTGTTTTCCCTTAGTTGGTATTTCATAACTGTGACTATTGTTATCTCTGGATTGAATACTATCACTTATATTGCTTCATATTCACTGAATTTCAAAATAAACCATCATTACAACACACCTTATTTTGCTGTAAAAATGATGAGGCTTCCAAGAATAAATTCCTTTACAAGAATATGCACCATGTTTTCAAGTCAGAAGTTTGAGTGAATAAAGTTTAAATTTAGGACATTTTGTGAAACTTGAAAAGTCTTCTATGTAGGTCAAGCTGATTAACATATTAAAGGCAAACTATGTGCAGCTTCTGAGTTTAGCATACAAAATACTTTTCAGGGATTTAATACTTTGTGTAGCATCAAATACTGGCATGTGGTAAAAGAAATAGTTCATAACCAAGCCCCAGAATACCAATTATGTGATGCATAAATTGTGCAAGTCTCTTTTCACTGACACCTAAAGGATTTATACAGTAGGAGCAAATGATCCCAGAGGAGGACTGTTCTGGGTGGTGCATAAGGGATGCAGAGCACTTCTTGTTTGTACCCTCAGAAGGAGTGGTGAAATCATGAGTTCAAGTTAATTGTCAGTTCAGTAGCACCAACAAGGAGCTGAACCAAGCAGGTCCTGTAGCTCCATGTTGTTATTTAGCTGCTGCTTTTTTTCAACAGAGTATTTGCTCAATGATAAGTAAAATTAGAGACCTAATAGCACCTGTACCCATGTTTCCTTTCAGCAATACCTTCTTTGAGGTAAAATCAATATCCAACCAAGTGTGGAAGTTCCAGCGGTACCAGCTGATCATGACATTCCACGACAGGCCTGTCCTGCCTCCACCCATGATCATCTTCAGCCACATCTACATCATCATCAAGAGAATCTGCTGTCGCTGCAAGAAGGGGGATGGAGACCAGGATGAGCGTGACAGGGGACTGAGTATGAGAGAAATCTTCTCTAAATTGAGCTCTTTGCACCCTCTCAGCAGAAAGCACCACCTTTTTGCAACACTGAACTATTGGTTCACGTGTGCAATCAAGTGTATTTGCAGAAGACAGTGTGGGCCAAGATTTGTGTCAAGTTAACAGCTCTTGGGCACCGGGGGCATCTGAGAACATGCAATTTTATGATGCTAATGAAGACTTTCTTTAACAGGCTTTCTTAAAACAGTGAGATAGTATCTACTCAATCCAGTGGGTTACCAAGTTCTAGCGAAGTCCATGTTGGGAAGGGCATAAAGGAAATTGAGAAGAAGGGATCACAGTTTTAATGTCATCTATAGTGTCAGCTGTGATTGTGAGCAACCTGTGACTAAGAGTATCCCCACTATCATTTGGAGATTTTTTTGTCATTTCACAGGGAAACTGTGAGGAGACTTCTAACCTACCCTGCAACTGTTAATTATTATTTTCATTATATGCCTCATGGAAATAATCACATATTCACAATTATCCCTCTATTTCTACATTTCACAGGAAACATTTTTGCACAATAGGAAAAAGAAAAAGGAAAAAGTTAAATGTAACCTTCCTTCCAAATGCAAAGAGACAAATTCAAATAAAGGATAAAATGTTCCCAAGAGCTTATATTCCCCTTGGATTTTTCTTACATGGTTATACATTTCTGAACATTATCCAAAGAATATATGTGAACAATCTGTTAGTTTATCTGTTACCTACAACTGGCATCCTTCTAAGAACAATATTTGAGTGAAGGAACACTCAAACTGGCAGAGCTTGCCTTAGTCTTTGTCTTGTAAAGGTTGCTCAGTTTGTTCAACGCACAGCACTTGCTGCTGAAAAGTGCAAAAGTCATTGAGAACATATAAGGCCCAGTGGATGGTCACAGGACATGATGGTCATAATGCATTCCATTGCCTTCACAGCTGGGTCTGTCTTTGGCTACGTGCTCATTCCATATTTAAAAAATCATCTGTTCATTTAGTGCAGGAGTAGAATCTGCAATATGCCCATGTCCAAAATAAACTGCCAAATTGGATTTAAATTGCCTACCAGAAGTTCAGAAAAACTCCTATTTTGTTCTTCTTTTTTGCACAGAGTTATTTCTGAATGATGAAGAGCTAAAAAAACTGTATGAGTTTGAAGAGGAGTGTGTGGAAGAATACTTCCAGGACAAAGAGGACGAGCAGCAATCATCCAATGATGAACGCATCAGAGTTACCTCTGAAAGGTACCTATTATAAGGAAAAAATCCACACAGTATTTGCTTTTTTGTATCTCTTTATAACCACAGTTGAGTTAAAATACAAAAGATTTAGATCTTGAAGAAAACCATCACCAACTCAGAAGGTGATCTGAATCCCAAGTAACTACCTGAGCAGGTGCATCTGTCACAAGAGCAAGCTTTGTGCTGTTCCTGCTGGCATGTCACTAAATCTGCTGGTTTGGGTAGCTTTGTTATAAGAATGAATTTTTTACCTCTTGCCCATCTGAGGATCACAGTTACAATTTCTATCTGAGTAAATTGCCACTTGTTCATCCAATCCTGAGAAACATGTTGGAGATTAATGACAAAAGCACTGAAGGTTCTTCCCTGTGGTTTATACTGAGGTCTGGCACCCACAGCTGCTGAATTTTTAATTTCTGCCACAGATTCTCTTGGAAGCTTTGAACAAGGCATTTAGCATGAACTTCCCCTTTTAAAAGACAGGGAATATTCTCATGTAAATCATTAAGCTATTCTGAGGACTAGGAAACGTTTGCATATTGCTGTGTAAGCACACAGTGATAGTGGCAGCAGGGCTTTTTTACCAGGTCACTTGGCAGGACTGCTCCCAAAAGCTCTGCCTGTTCTGTTAGGAGATGTAAGGAACTCAAGAGATGGGGGTTTTTGTCACTTTCTTGAAATGATGAAAAATTCTCCCTGTAATAAAAATTATACACAGTTTAAACCCTCTTTCACCTTAATCTACTACGTGGTATTCTGATGATGAAGTACTCCACATATATATTTCTATATATATCTATATACATCTATATCTATATTAATATATATCTTCCTTTTAATATTTCTTTTAAAATAGCTCTGTGAGCCATATAATTCTTTAACAGATAAGTATCTTTCTCTTGACAGAGGCCCTGAGCATCTTGCATTATTAAATGTGAAATTTGAGACTAGAGAAGGAAATTAAATCTGCTCCGTGTATTTGGGTAGTTTCTCTTGCACTATTTATCCATGGCAATTTGTCAAAATCCTAGGTATTGTGGCAGAGAATAAAGCAGGGCTGGTAAGCCTCACTGATTCACTATGGTCTGTGGCCACAAAGCAGATTTGCTTATTTCTCATGGCTTCTTGCTCCAGATGCTTCGTCATCTTTTGTGTGTGAGAGCAAAAGGATGTGATTTAATTTCCACAGTTGATTTACTAGATCTCTAAGTCACATTCTAATGAATTACTTTTATATGCATTTTTCTAGTACCATCATATCCATTATGATATAAATGATAAGAGAAAATGGGGAAAAGTATTACTGTAATTGAACTGGAGGACAGTTCCACTCCCTTCAGCTGATACATAATAGAAAGGTATTTCAAGAGCTAAAGCAATCCCATCAACACCAGCATATGTTCTCTCTAATACAGCTACAAAACCTGTTTTACAACATGCTTTGATGTTGTTTTAAGTCACCTTGGGAGCATGTCATTAGAAAGTACTTTTCATGTAATTAATTGATGCTTCACAGTGAAAGGACAGCTGAGCATGCGGTGGGTGGCACACGCAGAAGTGTTAATAGTAGACTGTCCCTGAGGGCTACAACTCTTGGACTCTCCTGGCAGAGCAAAGTCCAAATAGCCCTCTAATATGGTGTATGGAAAGCATAGATAACAAGAAAATGCACATGCTTTTGATGCTACACATAGGCAAAAAGAATGAGGCATGGCATGTACCACAGAATTGCTGCCTGAGGAAGGAATGTGGAGCTGGGTGCCTTTAATGGGTTACTGCACCATTCTACAGGCTCTGGTCTGTGCTTCCTCTTTTATACCCAACAGAGTTGAAAATATGTCTATGAGGCTGGAAGAAGTGAATGAGAGAGAGCATTTTATGAAAGCTTCTCTGCAAACAGTCGACCTGCGGCTCTCGCAGCTGGAGGAGCTCTCCGGTCGGATGGTGAATGCCCTGGAGAAGCTGGCAGGGATCGACAAGTCCGAGCTGACGTACCCGCGCTCACGGGCCTCGTCCGAGTGTGATGCTGCTTATCTGCTGAGGCAGAGCAGTGTCAACAGCTCTGATGGCTACAGCTTGTACAGGTACCAGGTCGGTGGAGATGAGCTGACCTTTGATGACAGTGCCACTCCTATGTCACCAGCCATGGGACTGCGGAGAAAAGCCCACTCTATTGGTGCCAAAGAAGATGGAGCAGACCCAAAGATGCTGGTTCCAGAACACCACAGCAGTCCCCATCACAGCTCTAGTGCTAATGCAGTCACCACAGCAGATCACAGTAAATCTACGTTAGATATTGCACAGAGTGATTCCAGACCCCATTCTCAGTCAGGTGGCTTGGGGAATGAAAAGCAGGGGATTTTCAGTAGCAATGGAATGGTTCCTCAAAGTATAAACCAGATGGATGCTGTTACAAACAGCCAGTCAGTAGCAGGATCAGATTTTCCGAACACTCAGTTAAAAGTAGAACGTACCAAGTTAGAAGCCACCATCTCTTATCCCTTGGAAAAATCTAAAGCAATGCGCTATTTTCCTCCTGAAACTTTCAGTGCTTGTCAAACCACTATGATGAAGTCAAGGAGCTTTATATTTGCACAAGGTGGGAAGCTGGTTGGAGGAGTTAACAACTGGACCACAGAATATAGCACCATTATGGATCAGGTGTGCCCTTCTACGATTGAACAGTGGGCCACAGAGTGGAAATATGAAGTTGAACAGCAGCTTTCTCAAGAATGTCCTCCAGAATACCCTGGTCTTGTCTCTGAAGCAGAAAGGCAAGCAGAGGAGAAGCAGTTACAGATGGACACAGATGATGATAGTAATGCTGGTGAAGCAGGTATGAGTGCCTCTTACACCCCTATGCCTGCCACTGTCAAGGCTGAGAAAGAGAATTTACTGTCAGTAAAGCCAGAAAGGACTTCTGGGCTCCCACCAGTACGTTCAAAGAGTTTGCACAGCCATTCTCGGAAAGCCAAGTCTGTAAAGGACAAATTAAAAAGACCAGGACATGCCAGCAGTGTAACTAATTTGGTGGGACCATTTGGCAGTGCAAGAGAAGAACAGAAAACTAGGCAAGAAAATGCATCCACAGAAACTGAATGTTAAAGTGGCTTTTGGCCTCTGTTTTACTGACAGGCAAGAAATCAGCATGGCAAATTGAATAAATTACGGATTTGAAAATTAATTTATAAGAAAGAATTTTGGATATTTTTGTTTCTTTTCTTTTAAACTTAATAGATATATGTTCTGTTCTTAAATAAATGCTTGCTGGGTTGGGTGAAAGGGAGATACTGTGTCAGGGGCAGACAAAAAGTAGGTACAGTTCACAGATGCCGACAATATAGATCTTTCTTTTTTCCATTTCAGCCTCCCTCATAAGCTCATTTACTGACAAGCTCTTTATGAAAGCTCTTACAGGAAGGACAATAATATAATAATTTAGAAAATTTTTTTCTTCTTTTTTATTGGAAGACTTCTTAAACTTAACTAATTTTTAACCAGTCTTAGTTTTTACCCTTACTTATGCAGCTGGTTTCTTTGTGGCCATGGGGTTTTTTTCAGATAAAAAAAAAGTGTTGGAGGCAAGGGAAAATTATGCAGTCCCCTCTTTCCCTTCTGATTTCATGCATGCTGCTTAGCTTCCCCTTCAGAGTGGCCAACATAGCAGGTTTTATCCACTAAAATAGGTCAGAGTGGCCAAATCTG